ACATTTTTTTATGTATATTTGTTCATCTCCTTTAAGTATTGCTTGATTAGCATTTTGACTTCTGTATATTTTAAAGTTGTGTTCAAATGTTCTTCTTGATAAATCCTTATAGATTGAAACATGCGAGAAAAAAATATTCTCAAAGACATACTTCTACTTGTTCAACTATATGACCCTGCAAATTATCAATTGTGATGGTAAATACAGTGAATTTTATTATGAATTTTGATGTCTTCTCTTTGGTCTATCTTCCTGGTTTTGTTTTTTTTTAGCCTGCTGAGCTGAAGAAACGCACTTTAATATGGGCATTTTCAAAATTGAAATGTGCTGCGGGTAAAACATGCAGGTTATTATAGAGTTGTATCCGATGGTTCCGATTGGACAAAATTTGATGATGTTTCCTCAGTATGTCTCCTTGACGACCAAGCAAACATAATGATGAATTTCAGCCATTGATTATGATTCTTTTGCGCCAGCAAATACCAAGCTTGGGACGCGGGTATACCGATTTGAATTTTATCACTCATCACGATCTCTACCAAACTACCCTCAAATCTAATTATATACCCAAAGTAGCGCATCGTTCGTTTTATATACTTATATATATATGGCTGAAAGAATTTTAGGATCTTTTCCGTTTGGCGCCCACCAACAGTACAAAAGCGTCAATGCGGAACTCATCACCAAATATTGCATTACTGGTGTTATTTTCGAAACGATCTGTTGGTGGGCACCAAAAGGAAAAGACCCGAATTTCAAAATACAAACTTGCTTCTCGCGGCAGAAAGCGCCGTCGTTTCATGCAAGTTGCATGTCGATCGGACCCGCAACGGCCGAGATATCGACGTGACAGACGGACGGCTTTTCGTCTTTATATAGTAGCTATAAAGAAACTTTCTGTGTCTTCTTTGTCTTTTGAAATTGATGGAACATGTTCTACTGAAACATGTAGAGTCTCTTAGGGTATATATTTCTGCTTTTAACTTTATACAAATAAATTACTGTGCATGTCGAAACATTGTTATAGTCATCTTATCTTTAATGAAACTTTGCACAAGAACTGTCATTCTAAGGTATTTATTTAGCTTTACTTGGTTAGAATTTACACGCCAATCCTTCACGAGTTTTACTCCACAGGTTTTACGCAATGAAGATTATTTATTGTTCTAATTCTGGACTGGATGTTTGTGTGTGTGTTTTACTTCTGTAGTTAATTTGGCAAATGGTAAGTTTGTTTCGTGTGACAATCCCGGATTTTACTTTTTGAGGATTACTAATTACGTGTTTTGATCTCAGAACTGTTTTTCGTTTTATTCTGTGGTTTGATTGGGGATGTTTTTTATCTGTCATGATCCTGGGTTATTTAGTAAGAACTAGTTGCTATGTATTTTAATCCTATAGTTCATATGGGCAGGGCTAATAGTATGTGTGTGTGTAGTAAAAAAAACAAAAAACTAAAAGCATTACTTTAACAGTTAAGTAAATATTAACATCAAAAGCAAGGCCTGCGTTTAAAACAGCAAGACCAAATCTGTGGTAAAAAAAATATTTTAATTATCTAAACAAGCCTTAACAACTACAAAAAACACTCCGTATATTAAAAAGATCACCAGGATACAGGCTATAATGTGGGATATATAAGATGTGCCCTAGGTTTTGGAGGTGACTACAGAAGTAGGACCCACGTAGTGGTGGGGATACACAGTTTACCAGTCTTAACCTGCGTTTGCTAGTCTCGTATGTTAAAGAAAGAAGCGTAAAGATAAAATTAGTAATAAGAATAAGTTAGGGGAAGAAGGTGTGAGTGGTCAAGCCCACAATTTCCCACATCTATATCACCCTTCACTGCCTGCAGACATTTATGGGAAGGTGACTACTCTCCAAAGAAATATAAAATGAAAGAAAATAAGATCCTACCATTAGAGAAATTTACTTCCTGTAATTGGCTTCCAGAAATTTACTTCCTGTAATTGGCTTCCAGCCCAAATTATAGTAGAAAAAGCTGAAATTAATAAGGTTAGTATAGTAGACAATTTATACTAGTGTAAAACTAAACAAGTTATCTAAACTAGTATAACTCGTAACTTTCACTCATTAAATTTACTCGTTGAATCGACTAGAACAACTATATATATATATATATATATTCTTCTGTTGATTCCAGTGGATTAATTAGTGAACAGTTGTTTATTTTCCAATACTCAAAAGAGAATAGCTTATTTTGACTTATGATGTACTTGAAAAGTATCTTATCCTAATCCTGTAATTGTTAATTTGTTTTTCGTTCAAAGCAGTTGACGTATTTAGTGAGAAAGTAGCTTCTGTCCTCTATATGCGACAGTGTTTGAAGTTCATAACTAACTTACTGAGCAAAACAGCGTTTGTTTCTCATCTTATAAGTTACTTAACAGAAAATGTTTTAGTTTTTTAATTGTTTAAAAGTCAATTGCATAGAAGCTGGTACGAGCTTTGTAGTCACAAAAATTACCAAAAAGAGATGTGTCCAATTTCTTTGATTTACTTAATAAAAAGAGCTATCTTTTTAGATTTTTTTTTCTCTGTGTGAAAGGGTTCCGGTGACTCCACTTATAGCCAGCCGTCTTCTGACCTGTCCCTTGACGAAGAACGCGAAGCACTTCGTAGAGAAACTGAGAGGCAAGCCCAAGCTCAACTCGAGAAAGCTAAGGTTTGTTTTTGATACCACAACAACCCAGACTCTTAATTATTTTTAAGCTAGAAGAAAAATATTTTCATAAATGTAATAAAGTCAAGATTTTATTATAAGTTGTATTCTTGATATTTAAACGAAAATTAAATATTGTTTATTTTTTGCTTCGAGAAATCCAGTAATCGGTAAATTTCCAAAAGGGTGGTTAGTCCTGTTGTAACTTGATTATTTTTTCTTGAATATTTCTTTACGTTCTTATAATTACGTATTAGAAAAGTTAGTTAATGAACTAAAGTATGTATCATTTTACTGAGTGCTAATAAACGGTGTTATTAGCTTATTCATATTGTGTAGCTCACCCTGTAAAGAAAGGTTAGACATCTTTGTTCATCCTAAGATAAACGGCGAATTAAATGGTCTAATCTAGAGTACAATCTTTTCCCGTTTGAAAGAGTTAACGATAAAGCAGAAATTTTAGCATAATTTTCTCCTTGGAGTTAAGATAATTTTTATAATACAGCAGAAGAATCTGAAGGTGTGTCCACCTTGAGGTATAAGTATAGCTAGATATTATCCATTGTGCAACAGGGTGTCAGTTTGATAGCCCCGAGACAGCTAGATATTATCCATTGTGCAACAGGGTGTCAGATTGATAGCCCCGAGACAGCTAGATATTATCCATTATGCAACAGGGTGTCAGATTGATAGCCCCGAGACAGCTAGATATTATCCATTGTGCAACAGGGTGTCAGATTGATAGCCCCGAGACAGCTAGATATTGTCAATTGTGCAACAGGGTGTCAGATTGATAGCCCCGAGACAGCTAGATATTGTCAATTGTGCAACAGGGAGACAGATTGATAGCCCCGAGACAGCTAGATATTGTCCATTGTGCAATAGGGTGTCAGATTGATAGCCCCGAGACAGCTAGATATTGTCCATTGTGCAATAGGGTGTCAGATTGATAGCCCCGAGACAGCT